GCGCGGTCCCGGCGCTGCGGCAGCGCCTGGGGCTGAGGCCGGCCCGGCGAGCAGCGCCGGCTGCGCTGGGACGGGGCTTGGGGACACTGGGTGGCTGCGCGCAACCAACTCGGGGGCAGGAGCTCCCACTGCGAATAAACTGTTGTCCTTGGTGGGCAACGTGTTCAGGGTTAAACCGGCCTTCTCTCTTGTAAAGTTTACTTCACCTTTAAAATAGACTTAACTGCATTAAGACCTACTGTTACCATAGATTTTGCACATTTAGCAGCCTTCAATGAACTTCAATGAGATTCATTTCTTCATTCCGTTCAGATTATTGGTGGTGTAAATGAGCTTCACTATCACAACGGCAGAGAGCTGAAGCTGTGGCACTCCTCTTCCACTTTTCAGTTGCTTGGAATGAAGCATGTTCTGAAAAGGGTGGGTTTTCAATTACTCATTTTATACCAAATGCTTAGGAACTGCTCCTTGCGTGTAGGCTGGAGGTTTGGTACCTAGGCACTGCTGAAAAAATTTAAAAAGCCTGATTCCAGGGCATAGCTAGGAAAAGCACATGCGGAGGGAAAGGCTGGAGCTTTAAGCGACAACACTTCTGAGTGTTACTGAAAAGATAAGACAAGGACAAATTCTAGGAACTCCACAGAGAGCAGGTCTTCCTGAGGATGTAGTGAGTCTGCATGATGAGTGTAGTTTTGTAGAGAAATACTTGCAAAGAAGAAATGGGGGTAGATGAAGAGGCTTGTTTCTTTCTGCTTAGATCAGTGGTGCTTTTGGATGCTTTGGAGCTGGCATCTAGTTGGACACAAGGCCAGTGCTTTTGCAGTTCCTCACATAGGAAAGAACCAGGAGTCATTTGTCTTTCTCTGTCTTGTTTAGTGGAACATCTTTCACTGCCTCAAAGGCTTAAGGACCACAAACTCTGTTCTCTTCTTTGCTTAAATCACCTGGGAGAATTATAACTACTTCACTTCTGATCTGGATGTCTGAGGTCAATGAGGAAGAAAATAAAAATTGTCCTAAAGTTAGTGCTAAGGGTGCAATCCATAAGAATGTCATTTGTCTATGAAAAGACTTGTCTAGTGACTCTATATAAGTGTTCTTATGACACGTCCATAGACAGTGCTCTGTACCAATGTGGCTTAGTGATGTCTCCTCAGAAAGACTAAAAGGTTCAACGAGGCTGGAAATTGAAGTCCAGCTTACTCCTGGACACCTTACCCATTGGTCGTGCAGGGTTAGGAAGCTTTCTGTGTTTCTTGTTGTGTGAATAGTTACTGGTGTACAGATAAATGGAAGTCTGTCTATCCAACACCTCTGATGAATGATTTTTGGGTAAAAATCAGCCAGTTGCTGAATTTTCAATCGCTGAAATGTAATTACCAGTAGGGGATTTACTTCAAAACACTTATTCTCTTTCCACTCAGACCAAGCTAATTTACTAGGAGAAATTGCTGTGCAATTTACAAAAGAAAAACACTGAATTTATATTTCTGTTTATTTAAACTATGTATTGCATACAGCTGGGTGGTGTCCAGTAACACATAGAGAAACTAAACCAAATTGATTTGTAATGACCTAAAAACTAAGTAAAGAACTTAATACCCAGTGTATTTGTATTGCTCTCCTTAGCTGCCATCTATGCCATCTATACAGTTCTAGGACTACACTGGATCTGGGCAGTTTTGCATAGAAGCCAAAGGCAAACTCCTACGCACTTACCAAGAAAACACACACTTGAACAGGTCTGAGGAACAAGCATGGATAATTGAGTAACAAAGAACTTTTCAATTCCACTAGTTTTTTCATGTTTTTGAGAAAGCACCAAAAACAAAAAAAAAAAAAAGGGTTACATTAATTCAGATTGCTCAATGCCTCCTTTATTGTGCTTGTGCAATACTGAATACTGGTTTTGTAGGAACAGCAGGTGATAAATGCAGATTTAAGGAAATTATACTTTCTTGAAGAGAAGGAGTCTAATCTTCCCTGCTGAAACAACATGATCATATGAAAACATCTTAAATAATTCTTTTTTTTTTTCCTGGATCTAGAAGACTCTCCAGAAAATGGGAACACAGATACCATAAACTGGTGTTGATATCCAGTTTGGCCATGAATTCTCCTAGTGGGAAAATACTGTATTTCAAGGATTTAACAACTGAAGAGTTTTATTTTAACCTGTGTTCAACAAGATTAAATGTAGAAACAACTCCAACAAAGTCAGTGATTAAATTCCCATTAATTTCATCTTAACCAGAATTTCACATTATTCTTTCTAAATGGTTTGGGTATTATTATTATTGGTATTATTACTACTACTACTACTACTTCTACTACTACTACTACTACTACTACTACTACTACTACTACTTTAAACTCTATTTATGTTTGTGTATGTATACATGCTTCCTAGGGAGATATTACCCTGACATGTTTCAGTATTAACTTCATGTTTAGAATTTACGTATCCAAATTGAATTTGTTCTAATTATATAATTCATGTCTTTGTAGGAAAGAAACGTGTAACTGACAAGAGAAAAAGGAGAGTGGAGGTAGTAGGAGAAGTAAGGTCTGTTTCCCTTTTCATTTATGCTGTGAAGGTTTAAAGCTGTTGTTTCACAAAGATGCTTCTTAGGACTTCACTTTTTCTTAGTGGGCAGGACTGGAAGGATGCTTTGCCCTGTGATGTGTATATGGACGACCCCAGGGAGCATAAATTTAGGGGACTGACTATTTCAATGAATGGTATTAATACAATACCTTTCATATCAAATCTAATTGGTCTAAAAACAAAGCAAAAGAGGTCATTTCTGTGGCTCTTGATTTTGTGGGGTTCTGTCTTCTTTTCTACCATGTGATACATTTCTGTGAACTCTAGAAACTGATTGAAGATACAAAAAGCAATTGAAATTGTTACCCTTCTCTGTTTCACATATAAATATAGTCCTTCCTGAAAATCACTCCTGTTCTGTAATATCATGTACTAGTTATCAATCGTGTAAATTGCAGCTCTTTAGGTAAAAAATATGTTAGCGTTTTTGTTTTAACAGATTAAACTAGAGATTAAATAAAATTATCTATGAGTCCTTTGGTCTATTTTCTGCTTTCAGCATTACAAAGACATAAACAATGAGTGACAAATTTTAGGATAAGGAAATTATATGGACTAGCTGTGATGCTGAAAGGATTTAAATGTATCAAGGGAGGAGGATCTAAAACCTAATCTTAAAACTTCACATATTAGGCACAAAGTTGAGAGCTTGATTTGTGAAAAGCAGCTGCCTCTCATAAAAATTTGTGCCTGACCAATAAATCTGCATCTTACAAAAGAGTCCTTGGAGTAGATACACCTATCTAACATTCCAATAGAATAACTACTTGTTAATGATCTTTTGTCAGAAAGTAGCACATAGGTGTGGGTACCATGAGTGTAGTGTTTGCTGAATGTTAACTGAGCCAATATATGAAAGAAATCTTTTAGATATGTAATCATTAAATAAGGAGGTTTAGTCTATCCAGCTGTGATTTTACCTATGTTGTCAAATACTGAGTACAAAACCCAGGGTAAGATTTTCTCTTGACTGTAGTAGTTTCTTCATAAAAAAAAGAAATATGTGGTATCTTCCTTACTGAAAGTCCAGGAAGGGTTTTAAAACAGTAATAATAAAAACAACTGTGTCTCTGTGATTAACTTCTAAAAGCCTTGACTCACCAATGAAATATGCATTTCACTACTTGTGTCATTACTGATGGCAAGTGATATTTGTATTCACCATGTTATTTGGCACTGCTGAGTTCCATGTTGCAGCCATGTCCTGTCAGACTGTATTCCAGTAAAGTGTCCCTGTTGCATTTACATTCCAAAATGGGGTAAAGGTAGAGGCAATTTGTTAGGTATTGAGGCCAAAAGAAATGAGAGATCTTTGATAATGTTTTCTTTAACAAAATTCCTTACATGTACCTTACATGACAAGTGAATGATTATATGTAGCAGCACGATGAGCATTGTGTTGTTCATTACTTCTCCCTCTACAAAGCAAATGTGCTCATGCTCCATTCTTTGGAATTGAGAGGAATTATTACCTACTGGGCTAAAAGGTGAACAGAGCACAAATTGAAATGCAAGAAATGTCATTTAAACATAAGAAAAGGATATTTTATGGTGAGAGTCATTGAACTCTGAAGGAGGTTGCCCAGCTTGTGGAGTCTCTACTTTTGGAGATGTTCAGGAGTCCAGATATGATCCTTGGCAACTGCTGCAACAGTCCCTGCTCTGAGCAAGAATTTGGACTGGATTATCTCTAGAGGTCCCCTCCAGCCTCAGCTGGTCTATCACACTGAGAGGAATTTCTACTAACACTCTGCTTTCCCTTAGAATAAAATACACTTTTGGCCAAACAAAGGACATGATCCTCAAATTATAAAATCTTGAGGGTGATGAAAGGCTCACATACCCAAAAGCCCAGACCAAGGTGCTAATCAACATTATGGGAAGCTACAAGGAAGGGTTGCCAAGGAGAGCAATTCTGAAGAGAACACCTGGAAAGGACAATTAAACCTTTCAATTCTCTATTTATGGCACTCACTCTCTTTAAATTGTACTGACATTTATATTTCCATTAAATAAACATTTTAAAGGAGTTGTAACTTGTCCATAAAAAGTAAGTCTGTGTGGATCTTGGCAGGCAAATTCCCGTTCTGGGAACATTTCACATTTTTGCTTTTCTTTTTTTAAAACTTATTTTACAAAAAAAGCTCTGTCAACTTCTGAAAATTGACACTGACTCTAATGGTTC